ACGTTCGTTTCAGATATTAAAAAATTATATTACTGGCTCGCATTAATCATTCTCTGACAGACCGGTACTTTATGATTTCAATTTTGTAACACGGTTACCCGACACTGCGAACCAGCAACTCGCGCACGAAATTACATAATTTCAGCCGAAGCCACTCGATCATTTTCACCTTATAACACGCTGCACGTGTTTCATTTCATAATAATTAAAATCGACACTTTTCGCGAAGCTTGCGTATATGTATGTGTGCGTGAAGAGAGGGAGAGATGGCAAAAGAAAAGTCGAAGGAACTACATAGAAAAGAAACATACATGTGTGTGTATAGTATTTTTCTGGGCTGCGGATTTTTTGTTAACGTCGTCGTCGGATCTTCAGGATTATTATAATCTCTATGTATAAATGTTACACGTATACGTAACGCTATATATATATGTATACATATATATCAGTCACAAAAGTTATTGGAGCATCGATTAATTAACACACGATAATTGTATTTGAAATGTATATGTATGAGTATATTTGTAAATTCTGAGGGGATTTCAATCTGACGATGAGATTAATCAGGAATCCAGCCATATTTTCAGACATTTAAAACGACAATTAGATGTAAACGTTTAAGACAGAGAAATGGTAAAATAAAGAGAGTAGAGAGCCTCTTACGAGGCGTCAATATATTCGCAGCAATGCACGCTACTGTGTAACACACGACAAACTAACGATTATCATAGCGTTTAAGTATCCGTTCAGATTTTTATATCCCAGGAGAATTGCCTGTCGAATTCGATTCGTTCGACGAGAGTGAGAGGAGAGGATAAGATTTTGCTTTTATTCGAATGAATCATACCATCTCGTAGCCTAACGAGCACGATACTACTATTAAGTACGTGCTTGTGCGTGTATACATGTTTTATTCCGCGTATGTACGTTGTATAGAGATTTAAACGCGAACGTCTCTGAAGAGGGAGCGGTTCCATAGAGAATATTGACTGTGTAAAACTCTATGTATTCTGGTATGATCGTACCAATAAAAAGTGGCCTAAAGGACTACGCGGTCTGCTTCTCCCACTTGATTATCCTGTCAGTTGTACGATTTTTATAACTGCTCATACATTATATATTAGGCTCGACAGTCTTCTACTCGCTCGCATTTTCCAGCTTAAGTGACGCGCTTTAAATTGCAAATAGTTTGTTGCATTTTTATTCAGGGAAGTGCGCGAGCGAGGCTCGTTGCGCCAAAAAATTATGTACAGGCGTTTATACAGGGTGGCCCAGTACTTTTAGTATTTGAATATTTTCGGAAATATGAAAACGAAATATTTTAAGTTCATCGAATTTTTTAAAAAACGAACGAAATCCGCCAATTTAGTAAATAGTCATTTTTAACTATCTGAGAGACAATTATGAAATATATTGCGTATTCAAATACCAATCAGAAATTAGATTGCTACGTAATTTTGTTGCGGTTGTTGGTTTACTACTAAAAGTCACGTACAGAGACGTACGAGTAGCTGAATGATCGCAATTATAGCCGCAACCTTGCTCATTTCCAACAATTTGTACCGTTGCGTATGACGTAAGCCCACGGCAATAATTCTTACGCTTTATGTGTACGCTACGTATTCGAATCGATTATGCGAATGAAAACCTTCGACCTCTTTTTTCCTTACGTATAAAAAATAACTGTGTAGATATCAAAGTATGAATATATTCTTAGGAAGAATTTATTGGACGAGTTTTACAGATTTTTAGTTAGCAGACTTGTCGAACATCTGTCCAGACCAGCGTGAATTGCTTTGATAAGAAATAATTAGCTCAGATTGGGAGGCTAAACGAGATTGCATTGAATTATCAACGGGGGTAGCGAGAAATTAAACCGAATCCACCGGAATTCAGCTGAAGGAATCGCATGTTTCAAAAACTCCTGCCACACAGTTTCGCACATGTGGGAGTGTTGTTTGAAAAGGAAACGTAAAAGGAGAGAGAGAGAGAAGAGAGACAAGGCTGCGATTGTACATCGTATGGCACAGCTGCACAGAGAGAGATCGAGGCAAAATCGTGAGGAAAGCGTGACGAAGAGGAGCGAACAGATAATGGTAGCGACACGGGCAACTGTTTAATAACCGATATCGATAAAACTGTAAACAGGGAAAAGAATTTATAAGCCAGGATCGCTGTTCGCTGCAATCAAACTTGTTTCACTGCATTTTTTATCTCGCCCTCTGGGCGGATATAAAAAATTCAATGTCGTTTCATTTCGTGGCTAGAGAACCGGCCGGTGAAATGAAACCGGAATTTAATGTGAAAAATACGAAATTCTCGTAGGCTGAATTTTCGTTAGCGAATTTTGTCAGCGAATTAAAATTCTTACTAGGCTACGAATTTTTATGCAAAATAAAACGTTTTTAATATTAATTTGAAACGTGAAATTCGGATTTGAATTTCTCTTGCCTTTTAAAAAGAAGTCTTTGGACATTAAATGCATTTTTTATACTTTCTGCAGATAGAATTTTTCTACAAATACATAAAATTCGAAACCTGATAATAAATTTTGGATTTCTATTAGAGTGGAGATAAAAAACAGCAGAAAAACCGCCCAGCCGACAAGTGTTTCGCACACGCGCGCAATCGTGCCGTCATCGAGATCCCGGACTTGTTACAGCCGACGCGACGACGGATGTTATTCGCTTATTTATGATTGGGAAAAAACCGGAATGCATCGCGGTCGTAGTCGCGGCCAGTTGCGACAAGGACGAACCGCGACATCGCCGATTAGTCGCATGAAATCACTGTGTAACGACCATCTGATAGGCTGTTCTCGAAACGATACTCCAATTCGATTCTCATTGGTTCAATGTGATACACCATCGTTGCGATCTTCCATTTTTTTTAATCAGTGGAGGGAGAATCAATAGACTTTACGAGCGTTACAACAATTCAACTCGAAACCATCGTTCCAAAAGATAAACTCTCACCCTTCACCCATTTAATTACGCAATCTCTCCATTATCGTCTGTCCACGTCCGCATTAATCGCTCGGAATCAAACTGCCTCGTGCTTGCCCTCTCTCATTAAGTTCTCCATTCCCTCTCCCACAAAGTGTCTCTTATTTAGTGACTCCGTCTTGCTTCGTCGAACGTTTTTACTCGCTGAAACGAGGAGGAAAACTCCGCAGGCAAGCGTTCCCTCTCTCCGTTTCGAGACTAGCAGCCGATCGTCTGACTGTCTGACATTCTCCTGGCGGCGTTCGTAGGCTGTGCCAACTCGTCTTGCTACTGTGTTCATCGAGGTCTCTTCGTCCCTTCGGATTCGGAGTCAGTCAGTCAGTCAGTTGCCCCGCATATCGCATTATGCCACGGTCGCAACGTGTTCGAACGCCCGTCGCCGCTGTGACGCTACCTGGGATCGGTGCGACGTGAGTTCCCATTCTTGCTGCTGGCATGCACGACCAGGAAAATGGGAAAAACCGCCAGCAAACTCAAGTCCCGCAGGAGCCAGAGTTAGTGAGAAATACGATTCTCATTTTTCTTTTACTCAGTTATCATTCATATTGTGTGCGTTTCAATTTGAAGTAATTTATCTTGCGTTATGCGTCCAGGTTTAAAGAATACAAATTATGTCAATTTTGTGGTAGAATCACACAATAATTTATAGAAAACTTACAAATCTCCTTAATTAATTTTATCCTTATACCTCCATGATTTATTTATTTCTAATAATAGTAATAGATTTTAGATTCTTTGGAGTCACATGGTATTAATTAGTGCGTTTCAGTGTTTTTTTATAAAAGTTTAGTAAATATCTCCTGCTAATGGTGTTCAGTTGCTTTATGTGGGAGTGTTCAGGTGTCATGTTCGGGAGTGGTTCGTTCGATCGGTGAAAGGATAGTGATGAATCGCCGTAATTCAGGTAGCACGTGCTCGATGATGGATTGATATTGGTAAGAGACTTCGCGATCAAGTGGCCACGTGAAGTCGTCTGTACTCTGAACAATTTCCTCAACCCTTTCTCTAAACTACATTTTTCTGAAGTCTGATTATGAGATTCAATAAGACTCTAATCAAAAATTCCTTATCACGCAACGATTAAAAAACTTTGTACAAATATATTGTAGAATAATAATTAATCCTTGTTGATTATTATAAAAAGACTTGACTAAATTTCAGACCATGTGTTCACTTCTTTTGTGATGAGACAAAAAATTATACTGACCTTAATTTCGATTGAAAAGAAACGAGTTCACTGAACAATTATGCAACAGCTGAGAATTTGAAAAATCATCGAAACAGGGCGCGACGACATGTCACCTGGCGTTTGTCGCGGTACGGGCGTCCACGGTACGCGTGGCCAGTACACGTGTCCAAGGTTTATTTCAAAATCGTAACTGGTACGAAGTATGCTAAACGTGGGATGTAGGTCGCATGGTAGTGCGTATGTAATAAGTACTTGCGTACAGTTCCTTCTTGCTCGACTCGCGGCTGATAAACGCTTGCTCCGGATAAAACCGTTTGTCTCTGAGAAGTAATGAAAGGAATTTCTATTTAAGTCACATTTTTTTAAAGTTTTATTTTGCATGAAACAAGTATTGTAACTAAAATTTTAAATTATGCGCGGATATTCCTGTGTAGCTAGCGAAATTCTCGAGCAATTCGTACGTACTCCGTCAACTGCGTACGATTGAAATTCCCGTCGCGAGGTAAACGCGCATACGATTAAGGGGCCACGAAGGAAACGGGGGGACCTCGGCGCACGTTTCACGCACGTGAATAAGAAGTAGTTTTTCTTTTTTCTACGATACGCGCAAAGAATTGACCGCGTCGGGTCATCTTCGGTCCCAACGACAAAGGATGTTCATCATTCTTCCGACCCATCTCGCTGCGAGTCGCCTTTCAACGCCTAACGAAGTTGCAGCAGT